TAACATTTAGATAACCATCCTCCTTTAAAAAACAAGGATCTTGTGCCATCGTGATTTTGCTAAATGCATTTGTCAACATATAACTGATACACTATTGACTTCATATAAATAATATCACTCGCAATAAAAAATTTGTAAACATTAGTTTTTTTCTCAAAACATAAAAGCGATATGTACCATATTAAAACTAAAAATAAAAGGTTTTGTACAATACTTAGTAGAAGAAGAAAATAATATAATAGGTGATGAATACTGGTTAATATTATATTACGATAGAAAACTAACTGACAAAGGATGCTATGAAAACTTTGGCAGTTACACATTCCTAAAAAATTATTTAAGCAAAATATACTTTATCGTCACAAAACCTCAAGCACATATCACAGTATCACCCTTTCTGTCTTTTGCTATTTGCCATTCTGTTATCTATCCATCTCTTGAACTTTACGCAGTTCTCAAATAATTTACGCAGCTCTGCCAACATAACGAGATTTTGACATTTGATTTTTGGCACAAAATTCAAAAATGGTAATCCCAGAAAGAAAAAGAAAAATTGTTTTAGTGAACTTTAAATCGAATAATTTTTGAGTCAAAATTCTTCTTTATAAATCTATAAATAACACACAAGTCTTTTTAACATTTTTCACATATGTTTTACTTTTTTAGTTGTTTCTAATAACGATTTGTATTTCAATTCACTTTTAGGAAAGTAATTACTTCTAAAAAAAAATCTCCTAAATATCATATGATCTTTATTTTGACATTTGAGTTTGAACAAAATTTAAAATTGTATATTTTTGCGAATAAGCAAAAGTATCAGTGTTTCGATAATATTTAATTCAAATTATACGTAAATATTGTCAGAATCCAAGAAGTAGAAAGTATTTGATTACCAATTATTTATAGATTAAGATTGTTTTAATTAGTGATTTCATAACTATATCAATTTTATAGTTACTATATATATATAAATACTATAAATTATTAAATAATTCTAACAGTATTAATTCTAACAGTATACTAAACTGCCTTTGAACTTCACTTATTGTTATATAATATTTTCTTCTAAACATTCAACTTCTCAGATATTATTATTATTATATTAATAATGCTAATTCAAGTACACTATATACACATGTATATATATATATATATATATATATATATATATATATATGCATATATTTTAATATATTTTTTATTTTAAGTTCAAATATTTTAATGCTTTACAGTTGTCTGTCAATTATAACGGTTATGGGATATCTATCTGAGAAATGATAAACATCCTACTTCACACGTATCTATGAGTAATACTGTTTTGCGCATTGAGATTGAGATCTACATGTTTTATTGTTAATAATCGTTATTAATTATCAACTTAAATACCAGGTAATGATTTAATTGCATCATATTTATTATATTGTAATAATATTAGTGAGATCTTATAAAAAACATTTAATTCGAAGCATCAAAATGGTGTCAGCTGGCATGACGTGCGTGAAGTATTTATTGTTCTGCTTCAATTTAATATTTGCTGTAAGTATTCATTATTCTAGTTAAAAAGAATATCATTTTATTAAACATATTCTTTATTTTATTATGTATGATAAAAAATCAATTGATTTATCCAATAATTTTTTTCACAGTGACTCATTCTGTTTGACATATGTATTTGTAATATGTGAAACGAACATTTCACAAATGAGTTACTTATTCTGTAACTTTTTACATTACTGAACGAACATCAATTTATATAATGAATTTGTATATATATATTACATTTTTATAGCTTTCAGGACTAACCATTCTTATTGTTGGAGCCCTAATCCAATCATCTTTTCACCACTATTCTGAATTTGTAAATGCTAGTGTCTGGTCAGCTCCTGTCTTGCTTATTGTAATTGGCGCAATTGCGTTTGTTATCGCATTCTTCGGATGCTGTGGTGCTGTGAAGGAGAGCAATTGCATGATCTATACCGTAAGCGTTTGTAGTCTTAAATTTAAAGATCATTGGAATACTAATAATAATAATAAAAAATTATTTAGTTTGCAGTATTTCTCATTGGTATATTTATATTGGAATTATCTGCTGGAATAGCTGGCTATATAAAGCATGGTGAACTTGCTGAAACCTTGGAAAATAATTTTAATACCAGTATGAATTCCTATATTGATGATAAGCAAACACGTGCAACATGGGACGTTATCCAGGAAGATGTAAGTATCTTTCCTATATTGTAGTGAGGGTTGGAAAGGGTTAATCTGTCATTGAAAAGAGCAATAACAATATAATTTTTATAATCTATTTTTACCTATTTTCTTAGTACTTTTTTACCTAATTTTTAATAAGTTTCAAGACTGTTATAGCAGGTCTACTACATAATTGGTTCAAAAATTATTTTTATTTAAAACTTTTTTTTCAGCTCGATTGCTGTGGTATGAATGGACCAAGTGACTGAAAAAAAGTTTTTAATAATGACACAATTCCAAAATCCTGCTGTGATGAGCTCCAAGTGATTTTGAATGCAATATTGCTCAAGCTCATAAACATGGTTGTATGCCTACATTATTAGACTTTCCTGCAAAATAAAGCTCTCATCTTGGGTGGAGTTGGTGTAGGAATAGCTTCGTTCAGGTTTTTTTTTTTTTTTTTTGATAAAGATGATATATTTTGTAGTATATGGTATAATACAATCTATTTTATTATAGGTACTTGGTGTTATATTTGCTTGTAGTCTGCAAAATCAATAAGAAGGGAGTATGAGACTGTTTAAGGAGAAAAAGAAATCACATACCAAAGTTTATCAAGAAATAATATGTATTATTTAAATATAGAAATGAATATTTCTTTATCTGTGCATAAATTAATCTATACTTATTATTCAAATATCAAAACTATTTATATATATTTAGAATATGAAACCTATGTTAAATCTCTGAAATATTTTTTTATATTAAGTATATCATTATAGTAAATTTGAAATATATGATGCATTATATAAAAAATATTTTTTTGTGTCAAAACTTGTTTTTAAATATTAAATGTGAAGGAAATAATTTTCTGCATTTTTCAAAATGAGGAAAAATGGTTAAACGATATTGATTCAACAATTAATGACATTACCAAAAACAACATATTATCTGATGTTTTATTCATCTGTAATACTCACATTTTATTTATTTATATCATTTGCAATGTCCATATATATGCTATAAGCTGTGTTACATTTTTCTTTAATAACTACTTAATCTACACACTTAAAAGTAATTAGTAAAGATTGATTTCATTTCTTTGTTTCTTTACTGGAATTAACTTGATCTTGAACTTCAATAGTATTATTTATACGTAGCATGGTATGTTGGCTTCTATAAACTAAATAAATAAATTAGAAATGTGTTATGTAGTAAAATTATATTCTGCTAATGTGTCTTACAATTTATTCTCATATATTGTTTCCTCCTCTTTTTCTTAAAATGTGTCTTGGTATGCGATAATGTCTTTTCTATTACTGTAGCTGTGACATTTACTAAACCTTTCTTTATAAGTGGACGGCCTATAAGGGAAAAATCAGCACTGCCTACTAATAGTATCTACAATATAAAATTTAAATCAATGCAAATCCATGGCTTACTGAACAATTAGGACATTTAAGGATTTCATTTATACTGTGAATCATTGAACAAAATTTAAAAGCTATGTCCAACATATGTTAAATGCCTAATCATATGCAAATTTGTAATGTGTCAATAATGGGTTATTTATAAATATTTTTAATTTATATTTATTAATTATTCTATTAATTTTTTGTTTATAATTATTTCTATATTTCGGGCAAATAGCATGTCCACTTGTTAAGGAACTTTGAAGTATTGAAATTAAAAACTCATAAAAATTATGATCAATAATACTTGAGTACAACTCAAGTATCAAATTACAAAAAAACTTGTTTTTCTTTTATTTAAACATCAATGCATGTAGGTATAGCTTGCAGAAAATATGTTAATGATCTTTACATTACTTTATGGAGTTAAACTCTGAACTTTTCTAATTGTTATCGATTACCAAGCTTACCTTGTCTAAGCTTATTTTATCACCGATGTCCGGAGGCCAATAACCCTCAATAACTATAATATCTCCTTCAACTATTCTAAATTGTTTACCACATATGTGGACAATGGCAAACAGTCGTCCTTCTTCGCAGTTCGTTGTTAAATGATTCACATTTTCTATTACTGTATTATTCGAGATACTCTTCATTGGCTCTAGAGCATTATTTGTGCAGTATTTTCTATATATCAGACTATTATTAACAGATGGAAATTTATAATTTGCTGCATGCTGGTGTAGTAATATACTGCAACTACTGACAGCTAAAAATAAAAATTCTTATAAAGCTGGATAACCTACAAGGAATTAAATAATTATTCCTTTGCATACCAGGCACAACATTTTGTACAAATGTGCTTGCTAATCGAGTGTTGAGATAATGGATGGAGCTAGATAATAACTTTTGCGCAAACATTATATTTCCTACTAATTAATTTAACTCTGTAAATTCATAACATTTCTGTCACTGCCTCTGCCTACATAGGGCCTTGGCTCGTCGGAGAGAGGGACCCATACATAGATAAGTAAGCATAAAGACCCAATGTTTACTTATCTATGAGTGCGACCATAGATAAAAGTGCGACAGTCTAATCTTTTATGTTGGTAAGTATGGAAACATCATTTTCGTTTGTTGAAATTTAATTTGTATTTGCTTTGAATTCGCTATTTTACTGTGCTGTTTGAAAGTGATTTATATTTGTTAATATATTTTTTGAGGCGTCTTTTCAATAAAAAAATATGGTTTACAAATGTTTAGTTCCTGATTGGAGGTAACACACGTAAAAATAAATAGTTAAATAGTTAAATAAATGTTCAATGATGACCGATAGATTTTTGAAACAAAATGGTTTTGAAAACGATTTTGGTATAAACTCTTGGCATATATATATATATATATATATATATATATTGTATTCTGTTTTTTTTTTGTTACTTTATTTTTATTACTCTTTTTGTATTTTAGCTGAATGATGAGCTAGTACAATAGCTCGAAACGTATTAAAGATTTTATATTTACTTTCTGGTTTTATTTTTTGACTTGTGGCTGTAAAACCTTAACACAAATATATATATATATATATATATATATATATATATATATATATATAATAATGTATATGCAACTTTGGACGTATTGTGTTATTTATTAAACCAAATATATATTTTCTACTGCCAAACATATATTAATATATATCTTATATTGTTTTAATTTCTGGCACATCTCAGCTGGTTTTCGGCAATAGTATTGTAGATATTACAATTTTCTTATATGAATATGAATATTTGATTATATACTAATATTGTCTAGACTCGCTTAAACAAAATTCAAATTTTAAGTAAACCGACATTTTTGGCAGATGACAATTCTTATATGTCAAAATGTTTTCAATGTCAAACAATGATATGTTGTTTTTTTGCAATATTTTCCATTTATTTCTACAATATTACTATAATTTTATAATTCCCCACATCTTGAAAATTTCCGTCGACAAACTCTAAAAAGAATTATTAAAATCCGAATAACCGTTTAGGAGGAGTATCAATTCATACATCATTACAAAATAATTTTATATTTAAGATTTATATATAAGATATATATGTGTATATATATATATATATATATATATATATATATATATGTTAGGGTGGTGCTTAATATGGACATTTTGGAATTTTCTTGCTCCCAAGGGCTCAAATTGTTCCTAATTAATAAAAAACAATTCTCTGAAAGTTTTAGCTTTTAATATTGTCTTTTAGATAGAGTGCAATTCAATCAAAGTTTTGTATGGAAATAGCATGAAAAAATTTTGCAGAAAGTCGAATTTTCACCAAAAAATGACACAAATTTTCACTTTTAATTCATTTGTCGCTAAGTTATACCTAAAATTTTTTTTTTCAAAATTTTTTCCATGCTATTTCCTTATGAAGTTTGATTGAATTGCGCACTATCTAAAAGTTAATATTAAGAGCTAAAACTTTCATAGAATTGTTTTTTATCAATTTGGAACCATTTGAGCCTTTGGGAGCAAGGAAATTCTAAAATGTCCAAATTAAGGACCACCCTAATATAAACATATAAATACAGGGCCGGTCCTGCCTTGCATGCGATGCATGCAAAAAATGCGGGCGCTCGCCTTAGGGGGCGCCAAAACGTGTTTCGGAAATTAAATTTATAATACATTATTTATATGTTTTATTATTTATATAAAATTTAGAATACTTAATAAATTATAATAAACAATCTAACTTAACTAGGGATTCGGAGACACAAAAAGCATATTTATTTTGCTATTTTTTTTTATTTGAAGTTAACGTGGAATCAAAAAAGAAATTATCTAGTGTTCAATCCCATAAGGCCAAACCTGCGAAAGATTAAATTAATTATTGGGCATTATTGACGAAAAATTGCGAGCTGATTTAGTTGAAACTGAACTTGTTAAAAAATATAAACAAATTGTAATAGGGAAAATGAAAAAATGGGTAGTCAGTGCTTAGAAAATGGCATGTTTGTTCCGAAAAATTGAATTGCAACTTTGTTTTTGTTGCAAATGTTTCGTATATGATGAACTGAATTGGATGATGAAGACATGCGTGGTGAGGATTAGGAAAATGGAACAAATATGAAAAATGGAAGCAAAGTTTACTTTGGAACGAAAATCTAAACGCTTTTTTTATATTAAGTGGTGTCTATACTCCAAATTTAATAATTTAACTATGCAGAAATAATACACATCAAATATAATTAGTTATTTTTTCAATATAGTTTAAGAAATGTGTAATTTCTTTGCGTTTTTTACTGATTTTTGGACAATACTTTGAAAAAACGTTAAAAATTTAACTTTAAAACAACAATCTGATACTCTGAATATGACGGGAAAGCAAGGATGAATACAATTCGGCTCTTACGATATCAATAAGGAGACGTTCACGACGCAATTTTGGATATTGTAAATAATGAAAAATTAAATTAAATTAAAATTTAAAAAATCCAACATGAAATACGAGTGTTATGAATTCTAGTTTTTTAGCTCTTTTAGCATGATTTGCTTAATGGAATAAATCGCAAAATAAATAAGTAAAATGTTTTAAAATCTAAATATTAATATTGCACATACGTTAAAAATAATTGAAAAATTAAAAATATTTGATTCCAATCAACTCGCGAATCGCCTCGATTTTCCAAATAAATTTAAAATCAATGTATTTTATACGATTTTAGATTATATCTAATTTTTGCGTACTAAATCCAGAATAATTAAAAATTAATTTTTAAAAAATATGTAAATATTTATATAATTTAAATGTTAAACTGTTAAAACAGGTAAAATTATAGGGGGGGCGCTATATTTATTTAAATATAAAATCAAGAATACTTAGATTATAATAAACAATCTATGACTTAACGATGGATACGAAG